AGTGCCCAAAGTACATTAGAATCTAACTTGGTTACAGGAGTCCCCTTTATGTGTTAGATGAAGGGCTAGTCACTGCCCCATTTTTCTTTGGATGGTCCTTCCTTGTTCTAACAAATATGTTCTTTATTTTGCAGATGCAAGTGCTTGTGACAAATGCCCTGATGATTTTTGGTCCAATGAAAACCACACATCCTGCATCCCCAAACAGATAGAGTTCCTATCGTGGACAGAGCCTTTTGGAATAGCTTTGACTCTCTTTGCTGTCCTGGGAATTTTCCTGACCTCTTTTGTTCTAGGGGTCTTCACCAAATTCCGCAATACACCCATCGTCAAGGCCACAAATCGGGAACTGTCCTACCTCCTCCTCTTCTCCTTGCTGTGCTGCTTCTCCAGTTCACTCTTCTTCATTGGCAAGCCCCAGGACTGGACCTGCCGTTTGCGGCAGCCAGCCTTTGGCATCAGCTTTGTCCTCTGCATCTCCTGCATCCTAGTAAAGACCAATCGTGTCCTGTTGGTCTTTGAGGCCAAGATTCCCACAAGCCTTCACCGCAAGTGGTGGGGCCTCAATCTGCAGTTCCTTCTTGTCTTCTTGTGCACTTTTGTGCAGATCGTCATCTGTGTCATCTGGCTCTACACTGCACCTCCCTCCAGCTACCGAAACCATGAGTTGGAGGATGAGATTATTTTCATCACTTGTCATGAGGGCTCCCTGATGGCCCTGGGCTTCCTGATTGGCTACACCTGTCTTCTGGCTGCCATCTGTTTCTTCTTTGCTTTCAAGTCCCGGAAGCTCCCTGAGAACTTCAATGAGGCTAAGTTCATAACCTTCAGCATGCTGATCTTCTTCATTGTCTGGATCTCCTTCATCCCTGCCTATGCCAGCACCTATGGCAAGTTTGTTTCAGCAGTGGAGGTGATCGCCATCCTGGCTGCCAGCTTTGGGTTGCTGGCTTGCATCTTCTTCAACAAAGTCTACATAATCCTCTTCAAGCCATCACGCAACACTATTGAAGAAGTGCGCTGCAGCACAGCTGCCCATGCCTTTAAGGTAGCAGCCAGGGCCACACTGAGGCGCAGCAATGTATCACGTAAGCGGTCTAACAGTCTTGGTGGTTCCACTGGCTCTACCCCATCATCCTCCATCAGCAGCAAGAGCAACCAGGAAGATACATTCCCTCTGCCAGCCTCTGCAGAGCGGCATCAGCAGCGTGGCTGCAAGCAGAAGGTCAGCTTTGGCAGTGGGACTGTCACCCTGTCACTAAGCTTTGAGGAACCCCAAAAGAATGCTGTGGCCAGACAGCTTGATGCGCCACAGGGCCCTGCTTCCCTTACAGAACAGTGAACCCCTAGGTGTGGAGCCTGGCTTCCATGCAGTTTCAAGCCAAGAGTCCAGCTCACAAGAGTCCATAGTGGGAGAAACCAAAGAAGATGTACAAAGCCCAGAAGAAGAATCTTCTCTGCCATCGGCAAATTCTCGGAATTTTATAGGTACAGGAGGTGGCTCCATCACAGAGAACACAATACATTCTTAACAGAAGAAAACCATACAAATTCCCACCTCTGCCCAGTGGAGCTAGATCACCTGTTTTCTTCTGAATGGAAAAGACACCAAAGATACATCTGTGACACAGCCACCCCACCTTATTTTTAGTGCCAGCAGGGTAATACTTACTTCTGAAGGACATGCAGGTGGAAGGATTATCAGATGTTTGCGCCTTGGGACCCTCAAACTGAACTGTGTTTGCTCTAAAGAAATCAGGACTGGAACATCTCAGAAGGACAAGTTTAGATTTTCTCCAGAAGAGTTTTAGCAGAACTTTGCATACTGCCTAGCCTTTGTCAATCCTATCTGCCAGACAATAGGTCATCTGGCTATTGGAGGAGTTTAAGTAATTCCATTATCCTCTGCTTTTACACTGATGTATAATATTCCTCTTCCCCCTTATGTATAATAGTCCTGCTTTGTCTTCTATGTGAAATCTCTAACCATGTTATACAAAGGAAAGGACTTGGAGCTCTACAAAAGTAGGACATGTGGTCAACTTAGAGAAAGTGAAGTCATAAAAACAAAACACCAAACACCTTGTACAGGCAAGGGTCAGAACATGTAAAGTATTTAATGTGATAGACAGTGCTCCCTGCTATTTATACAAGATGATGTTCCAATCCCAGATTCCTGTTGCTGCCAGTGACAGCAGTAAAGAACGCTGGACAATTTTTTTCATAAACATCAGTGCATTAGATCAGGTTACTAGTTCCCTGTTGGTTTGTTCCAGTCAAAGCCTCTTCAGCTCCACCCCACCTATATTGGTGGAAAGGAAGGACAGTATGTCATCCCCAGGAGAATGCTGTGAGAGCTCAACAAGATATATCCATGATTGATTATGTTGCTAGTAGTTGTATGCTTAATGAAATGTATTGGCTGTAATGTTTTGCATGACATACATGGCTAAACATTTCACACAACAGTCTATCCTGTGCTTTTCCATATTAGTCTCACACACACATTAGTGCACTAGTCATGAGAATGGTGGTGGAACGAAGGAGTTGGATGAAAAGGACTGGAGATGCAGAAATGTCCCCAAGAAGTAGAGAGGCAAGACTTTTTTGTGCTTTTATTGGACCAGTTAAATAGATGGGAGACTTGGGAAAGGGCACTTAATGCCCGGAAGCTTCTCCAACATAACAATAGAGGTGGGCCAATAAAAGATATTACAAAACAGCCTTGTCTCTCATTAACTGGACCATCATAGCTACAACAGTGCTCCAACCCCCCAAAAAAGGTAAGTTTGGATTGTTCAAAAAAGAAGTATCTGGAGTGCACACACATGGGCAGATGGCTGGGTTGGGGCTTGGGAGCTGCATTAAGGCTTTTGAAGATTAATGGGACAAACATACAGGTAACTGGAAAAATATTGAATATTTTATAGCACCACTGGGAAGCCAAGAATTTTGTTGGGGTTTTACAGGGTGTGGACTACGGCGAAAGTTTCCATTCTAAGCCATCTGAGAAGGGCATATAATAAAAGAAGGGTCTGTTGTATCTGAAGGCGAAGCTTTAGTGACTGAAAAGGGGCCAGATGAGACCTTCAGCAACACAGTCCTCAGTGGTTCTCTTACAGCAGACAGTAATGCCTCTGATTTGGGATAAGTTGTGCCATGTTCCTCTCCATCCACACAGAGGGTGTTTGAGACAAGGAGGGGACTCAGATGTAAAAATTTTGTCCATTGCTTGATCAGAGAAACAACGTTCCTAGAGGGCTTGGTGGAGACCATGGGGTTGCATCAGTGATTAATTTGGCCTCTGCTCTATAACAGTGGTCAGTTGGCATGACTGTGTAATACTTTTCCTTCATGAAACAATAAGGTACTCTGAATCACTCAGACGCACCTTAAACAGAGACAAAGCTCTGAGAAAATGCCTTGGGAAAAGCATCATCATTCTCTTATTACTCTTGTTGTTGTTTGTTTTTTAGTCAGGGCAAAAAAATAAAATGACTAAGCGATGTTGTCATATAAGGGCTTGTTTTCATTTCTGCTCTGTGAGCTGAGAATGAAGATTAGGTACTGGGAAAATGCAGGAACTGGTATGAGTACATTTTCAAGGTACGGATAAATTAAACTTTTCGCCTTTGACCACATGTCCATATGCACACCCTCACTGTGGGCATGCAGGCACCATAGCACTCAACCTCAGAGTTGTTTGGCAGAGCGGGAGCTGTGGGGTGCACTGTCCCCTGCCTTTTCTCATGCTCTGTGCTGAGGGAATACATGTCAGTCCTTCCTGCTCTCCCATGCTTTTTACCACCTACTGCCTCAAGGCAGAGCACATTAGTGGCTCATGATTCAAGGCCCACAATTCTGACTTTAGTCCTTGGACAGTTTCTAATGTTATTTTTTTCCATGTTCTTTTTTGTTGTTGTTGTTGTTATTTGTCAAATGTACCTGTTTCCTGTAGTTTAAAAAATAGTTAAACTTTTTGCTGAAGGCTGTGGCCTCTCCCCTGACATAGAAACTTAATTGTACCTGTGCTTTGCTGTGCTAGCACTCTGGCCTTTTTCTTCTTGTCAGTCACTCTACCATTCTTTTATTTTGGCTGAAAGAATAGAAGCCTAGCTTCTCTCTGCACACCAGGATTCAAAATGTGCCCCACTGTCCTACAATGGTACTGAGCTGCCTCAAGTGAACATTCACAGTGCCTGTACTGTCTCAGAGGCCTTCGATACGGTATCCCACCCTGTACTGGTGAACAAGTTAAGAGGCTGTGACTTGGACGACTACACAGTCCGATGGGTGGCGAATTGGCTAGAGGGTCGCACCCAGAGAGTCGTGATGGATGGGTCGGTTTCGACCTGGAAGGGTGTGGGCAGTGGGGTCCCACAGGGCTCGGTCCTTGGACCGATACTCTTTAATGTCTTCATCAGCGACTTGGACGAGGGAGTGAAGTGTACTCTGTCCAAGTTTGCGGATGACACAAAGCTATGGGGAGAAGTGGACACACCGGAGGGCAGGGAACAGCTGCAAGCAGACCTGGACAGGTTGGACATATGGGCAGAAAACAACAGAGTGCAGTTCAACAAGGAGAAATGCAAAGTGCTGCACCTAGGGAGGAAAAAGTCCAGCATACCTACTGTCTAGGAAATGACCTGCTTGGTGGCACGGAAGTGGAAAGGGATCTTGGAGTCCTAGCAGACTCCAAGATGAACATGAGTCGGCAGTGTGACGAGGCCATCAGAAAAGCCAATGGCACTTTATCGTGCATCAGCAGATGCATGACGAATAGATCCAAAGAGGTGATACTTCCCCTCTATTGGGCGCTGGTCAGACCGCAGTTGGAGTACTGCGGGCAATTCTGGGCACCGCACTTCCAAGGGGCATGCCATAACCAAAACATCCCTACAAGTGGCTGGATGCTGTGAATTCTGTTGTCTGTTTAATAGAGGTAGCCAGAACCCACCCCCACTCCCCTGCTGTCTGGGCCTAGGCACACCCCCGCTCCCTGCCACCAGAGAGGACAGTGAAGGTCAACTGATCTCCTAGCCCTTCCCATATAAACCCCTGACCCAAAGGGGAAGCATCTGAGCAACAAGGCTCAAACTTGTACCTGGGCTGCTGCACCATTGGCTTGTGCTGCTACTATCTGACGGATTCCTTGGATACCTGACCCAGGTAGCCTCCTGACCTCACTCTGCGTGACCCTTCACATACCCAGCCAAGCTCTGGTCTGCCTTCCTGGACACCTGACTCAGCTAGCTTCCTGACCTCATGCTCTGCCTGACTGGATCCCCAACTCAGTTCCCCAGACAGATCTGGCTTCGGACTTCCTTTTAAGCTATTGTGCAATCACCCAGACCTGGCCACACATGGCCCAGAATGACAAATTGTCCAGACCCCCACATGCAGCAATGATGGCTGGTATGGAAGCAAACTCCATACTGGCACCCCCAGACCCACTTGAGCCAGACCAGCTGTTGCTGATGGCCTTCACCCAGCAAGCATTAGAAGATCACGTCCAGCAATGGTTGGCAGATAATCAATCCCTCCACTCCCAGATCTACCCAGTTCCACAGTGGGGTTTCCACATGGCAGCCTCCTCACCTGGAATCCTGCTTACCCATACTTTTATCAGAGAGATAGGATGGTGTCAGGCTGCATTTCTGCAGGTTCCTTGTGCAATCTCACATACTGTTCAAAGCCCAACCTGAGCTGTACCCCTGAGACTCAGCAGGAGTGAGCCTAGTGGTTAGTCTCCTAATAGGATATGCTCTGAACTGGGCACATGTTTGGTGGAACACAAAAGTCTGGTCCTCCAAGATTGGGGAGGATTCCTCAAGGACTTCATGGTCATGTTTGGAGATCCTTACCCAGCCTAGACAGCAGAGATTGGGCTATGGTCCCTGCATCAGAGGGAAGATTCAGTTGCAGCATATGGTTCCCTCTTCCACTGCTATGCAGCAGGCACCCAGTGGAATGAAGAAGCCCAACTCCACTATTTCTGCTAGGGTCTGCAGGAAGAGATCAAGGATTAACTAGCTTGAGTGGAAACATCTTCAGAATTTGATGTATTCATGGACCTAGCTGTCCAGATTGACCTCCACCTACAGGAACACAGAAAGGAAGAGGCCTTGCCCCCTCCAACCCACCCCCTGCTATGATTGCTTGCAACCCCATGCCAGTGCGTGCGGGGCTCCAGCACCCCATACCAGAGGAATGGGAACACCACCAGCAGCAGTAGTGGTACTACAATGGTGGGGCCCCAGGACAGAAGCATGCCACTGGCCCCCAAGGAAGGGAGTCAAGATAAATGAGTGGTCCTGGGCCTGCTAAAGGGGACTGGTTCAGGGTCACCCAGAGCCCCTAAGGCATCCACAACCAGTAAAGACTGTGGCAAACCCAACCCACAGAATCCCCAACTACTGTTATCCACCCATCTTTGAGTCCCAGGTCAGAACTGCTCATTCCCTGTGTTGACTGCCCTCCTAGACTCAAGCTCCAGGTAATGTCATATATAAGACCATGGCATAAGATCTACAAATCCCACTAAGCCAGCAATGGAAACCTGAAAGCACAGAAACCATAGATGGTTTGCCCCTGGATTCAGGGCCTATAGAGTATAAAACCACAACCATCAAAATGAATCTCCTTGGAACCAGGGGGTTCCACTTTCCATACTACCCCTTGATTCTGGGGTTTTCCTGACTTGCACGCTATAATCCCCTGATCAAGAAAAAAGCACAGGAGCTCACCTTGAACTCAGGCTACTACCAACAACACCATTGGCAGGCCAGGATGACAGAGTCCCCTAAAATCCAAACTGGAGGCCCACCTGCTGAAGAGCCCCTTCCTGCCCCACCTCCACCTGCCCAAAAGGCACTGTCTCCAAAACATGAAATCTGTTTACCCAGGAAATACCAGGAGTTTGCAGACATCTTCAAAAAGAAAAATGTAGATGTTCTTCTTCCACATTGAGATTATGATTGTCCCCTCAGTCTACAGCCAGGAACAAAAATTCCAGTGGGGTATATTTATGCCATGTCAGAACCCGAATTCTCTGCTCTCTGCAAGTACGAGGAAAAAAAAATCTGGCCCAGAGCTTCATGCATGGGTCCACCCTGCTTACTAGGGACTAGGGAATCTTCCCTCCTTTCATTCTGTTTGGAAAAAAAAAAGGATGGGAGTCTCCATCCAAAAAAAAGGATGGGAGTCTCCATCTCCATCAGTGCCTAATTATTAGGCACTGAACCAGATTACTGGTCACAATCAGTATCCTTTACTCCTCATCTGAGAAGTGCTTGATCAGCTCAAAACAGCTCTATCTGTACCAGACTTGATCTTCAGGGAAGCCTATAACCTGGTCCATATCACCCGTTAAATCAGTCCAATCACTTTCAAATTGCACCTCCCTACAACACTGAAAATCCTCCCAGTCCCAGTTTCGCATGTTCCTGTTCAAGCTCTACACAGAAAACATGCTCCATTTCCAATCCCATCCTCCTCCACCCCCCATAAAGGTCCATGGCCAATAAGAGTACTTGGTCAAAGAAATTCTTGACTCAAGATGGTGAGTAAAATTACTATACCTAGTAAAGTGAAAGGGGTATGGACCAGAGGAATGCACAAAGGAACCCATAGAAAACATCCTCACTCGTGATCTGGTACAGAACTTCTGCAAGGATCACCCAGGAAAGCCTGGACCAGTGCCTCCTACAGGAAGCGGCTGGGGGTAGGGGAAGAGTAATGTCAGGCTGTAGCTCTGAACCTGGGGCCTTGGCCTGCCTGGTGCTGTAGTTTACCTCAGTCAGGGTACCTGACCTCCTGCATACCTAACCCATCTAGCTTCCTAACCTCATACTCTGCCTGACCTTCTGGATCCCTGACTGTTCCCAAGACAGATCTCCTGGCTTCTGACTTCTTCTGACCCTGAGATGACCCCAGACTTGGTCACCCACAGCTTGGCATGACAAAAGCATTCCACATCGCTGAGGGATATGGGTTTCCCAAAAATGTACGGATTACCATTGAGGACCTCCCTTGTTGGGGAAAGGAGTTGTTCAGTATCAAACTGGATGAGGCTATCCCCATGAACATACCCTAAGAAAGTGCTCCCCAGCTCCAGAAGAAACATAACCACCAGGTGTACTCTACCTTGAGGCATGCACATCTGTCCTTGCTTCCCCTCCATCTCCCTTAGCTGTGTGGCTTGGAAGACATCCCAGGAAGTGTCAGAGGTTCCATGAAAGGACTGCAGTCTTTGGCTACAGCCACACCATCTGGTAACAGGCGAACTGTGGTGGTATGCTCGATAGATTCCTTCCACCTTTAGAGGTGTTACAGGGCAGTGGGGTACCTGAGGCAGCAGTAACACACAGGGCAGCAGTGACATCTAACTGTTGGTGCCACCAGTGCGGTTGTGTGTCTGTGGCAACAGCTGTCATTTTTCTGTCCCTACACCCAAAGGTAGCATCAAGAGCGGCTGCCTGGGTCACCCTGCTTCAGTTACCCT